ACTGGTGAGATTCATTAACTTCAGTGTTGTTATTTATGGTGCCACTGACAGGAATGACATTGCTGGGATCACTTAATTCACCTTTATAGGAGACCCTGTATTGAGCAGTTTTAAAGAGTTATTGGAAGTTCCCTGACTCCTACTTGTTTACTGTGTGCATAAGTAGAAAAAAAGGTTATGCTAAACTCTTATTTTTATCTTGATTTCCATGGCTGATCCTCATGCTACTTTATGGTTGTGCATGTGAGCATAAATATTCAAATTATCAGTTTTTACATGGTGTCACCTGAAATACTTAAAAAAAAAAAAAAAAGGTAGTTGGTAAGAAGCTAGTTATATTTGACAGAATAATCTCCAAATTCAGATTTTATACATGTGAATTTAATTGTCTCTTCTTGTTCTGCTGTCAGGGTTGTTCTCAGTCCTGTTTTCTCCATGCTGGTTTTACAGGACATTGAGGACTTAATTGTTGTTGTGCAGTACCTCATTTTTCATTCAATCACATGGTCTTGGTGTGATAATGTAGGAGATGGACTGGAAGGATGGGGCCTAACACATTAAAAAAACCTAAAGATAAAGGTTTGCTTTTTAATGTGACAATTAAAACTAATTAACCTTTAGACCATGTTTGAATCCAGTGAGATTTAAAATTTTCTTTAAAGAAAGCACTGTAACTTTAAAATATGTTTTGTTAATTTAATTGTTTAATACATTTAAATTAGTTAAGTAAATTGAAAGAAAATTACTTTGCCATCACTTTGAAACTTGCTTCCACTGGTTTCTAATGGGACTTGAATTCTGTTCCAGATATAATCTGTTTCATGACGGTGGCTTCACGTTGCAATAATCCTTTTCATTACATTTTTGGGACTTAACTCCTTTATTCCTCAATAACACTCTTGGCAGCTAGTACAGAGCAGTTTCCTGTTTCAGGAGTACTCTGCTTTTAAAAATAGTTCTGTGAAGTTTGTCTAAGGGCTCTTCTTGATGACTGAACTGAGGATTATCAAATACCTGCAATGTTTCCAACATGCAGAAGAGATTTCAAAATCTGGGTCTGTTTGCATTTCCTAAGAAAAATGTTTGGGGGTTTGGGGAAAATAGATCTGTCTTTGTTTTGGTTTGTTTGTTTGTTTGTTTGTTTTCAGTAGTAGTTGTTGCATAAAGCCTTTCCAAAAAAGCTGAGTGGGGCTGCAGCACAAATTTAAGTCAAGAATTCTGTATGCAGCATTTCTAGATTGATGTTGCAAACTCCTGCAGTACACAGTGGGAGAAATCCTGATGGTTCCTTGCTATGTTAGAATATTGTTTCCATTGTCTGATGCTGGCTCATAAATGTCTGGTTTGCAGGGTGTTCAGAAGGACTGCTGCTCCTCAAACATGGTGAGGATGGTGTACCTTAGTGCCTTTGCAGTTCAGTGCTGTTTCCAAAACTGCACTTAAGTAGCTGTAGCTGATTCTGCAGTGTCTGAAAGGACTGCGCCTGCAGGATGTCTGGTTAGACTGTTTGTGTGGTTTTCCTTTGGCTTGGAAAAGCGCAGTGAAAGGGCACTTGACAAACTTCCCTTCTTTTCTAATGGCAAAGGCCCTTTGGAAAACTTCCAATACAATAACCATTCCTCTTCACCTAAGCAGTGTCAGAACACAGTCTTGTCCCATCAAACATGGAATAATAATATTATTTTGCCTTTGATAATTTGATCTGTGTATTTCTAAGTTGATTCATTTAAAGAATAAAGAAAAATGAAGAGTGTCTGAAGATAGAGAGACTCTTAGATTAATTTAGAGATAAACAATTTTTATGAATTTTGCTTTAGATTTCCTTATTTATGTAGGGGTTTGTTTTAACTATGTTGTTCCAGTTTTTCTCACATTTCTTATGTCAGATTCTGTTTGCCTGTCATTGCTTAGGTAGCCTCAAATAGTGGGATGAGCAAGGTCTGGGCATATTCAGTGGTTTGTATTCTCCTCTAGTTAGAAAAAATAAGACCCCTTTTCTTCAGTTAACCCTATTTTTTTGCATTACAGCTCTCTATTGCTTGTATTACTGCATGTGGTTTGAAAAGAGGCTTTAGGCTAAAAACATCTGTGTGATGGAAAGTGATCCTCTCTGAGCAAAGTGTGGGAATAGCATCTTTCAGATGGAAGATGTTTTCCCCTATTAGTTACTAACAGTTCCACCAGCCTGTGGTGCAGATGCTCATCCAAGTATTTACACAAACTCCATAAAACATGATGATCAGAAATATAGAGGGAAATGTGAAGCAACTATGAATATGCAGAGCCAGCCACTGGCAGTTCTTTCTGCTTCTGAGAATGAGAAGCAAATTATGTGTTCTTACTAAAATCCAAGTCAGATTTGGCTAAAATTGGCATTTATGTAGAGCCAGGAAACATGTCAGGTTTAAGTGGGTGGTGGAACTCTAAACTGAGCCAATAGTTAAACTCAGTGCTGTGATGAATATAACATGCTGAATTAATCATGTGCTTTGTCCATTGAGGCAAAATGTTACTGAGAGCTAATCCAGATTAAAGATTATTTAAAATGCAGTTTTAGACTGCTTTGTAAATCATGCTGGAAGGATGATATGGCACAAAGACTTGGTTGTGTGGTTTTGGACTTTTTTTAATATGGGTGTATGCTTGCAAATCTGTGCTGAGATATACTGGTTCAAAACCACCAAAGCCCAACATCAGTTGTTCTGAAGGGAGTTTTGAGTTCTAAATCTGTTGCATGAGTGCATGTTGCTGCACTCAGCGGTTTTGTTCTTGTTTCATTTTGGTTAGTAAAGCCCTCTGTTCATCTGGTAACTTGGGCACTGATAGCAGCAGCATATTTGAGCTGGTTTCTGTATTGTGTTGGATTCAGTGATATTGGAGTAACTGCCACAATAGTGCTGAGCTCACTGGGAGTGGGAGGACTCACAAACACTGAGGCTCTTCTGAGGCAGTGGGTAGCACCATTGCTGTCACAATATTCAGGTGCTTGCTCTGGGTGATGGGGTGCTCCCTTGCTTGCCAGGCAAAGGATTCCTTTCCCCCTGTGTCTCCTAACCGCGGGAGCTGGTTTGGGCTGTGTGGCATGGCCAGAACAACTGCTTTGGTTTGATGGTCCTGATTTAGGCTGAGGTGCTGGAACAGAATGTTTCCCAGCAAGCACTCCAAGGCAACATGATTTTCATGCCTTATTATCCTCTTTCCCATTTCCTGTCCCTTTTTCCCTGCTGGCATACTTCCCTTTCTCCTATCCAGTCTTTTCCTTCTCTTGCTTTTTATCTTGGTCCCAGTTTTGCTGCATCTCTGCCCAGATCTGGCATTTCTGATGCCATTACCTTGATAATCCCAGTCTTTTGTGCTGCTACTGATGCAGTTATACAAACGCTGCTGGCCTCTACTCTCCAGAAAATCCTCAGTATTCTCCTTCAGTTATCTGTGGAATTGTTCTGTTTTTCATGTAACTTCCACATTCCTACCTGTGAAGCCCAGTTGTTCTTTCATTTTTGCTGTCTGTACCTCTTCTCACCTGTGGCATTTTTCCATGCCATGCTCAGCAGATTTCCATGTCCCTGCAGCCCTAGTAGACATTTAAGACAAACTCTCTCCTTCTGCCATGCCTTTTCCCAGGTGGAAGAGCTTCTCTGGGCAAGATCAAGTTTTTTAATCATTCAAAATGTCTACAAAAGGCTTTTTCCTTGCCCAGCAACCCAGAGAAGTAAAATAAAACTGTCATGGCATGACACTGAGCACTGAAACTGAACTGAAGGGTACTCTAGTACTTCTTCACTGCAGTTTACTTATTTAAAAAAAAAAGCTTAAATATTTTGTGGCTCGTGGGCTTCCTGTTGTCTCAAAGTTGTGCTGTAATTTCTACAGAGACAGAGATTCTTTTTCCAAGGTAGCATCAATATTCCAGAGGTTTCCCAGGCTAACATAACAATTCTGTTTGGTATCCACAAGGATCAGAAGTGGTCTTTCAGAATAGTAAGTAACAGAAGGATCAGTTCTATTACTGATCAGATGAACTGAATAGAATAAACACACATTAATATTTAGAAGTCAAAAATTAATATGTAAATATTAACAATAATAGTTAATAATAATATTTTAGTTAACAGTAATAGTTTAATAGTTAATAGTAATAGTAGTAATTTTGGTTTAATAGTAATTTTAGTTTAATAGTTAATAGTAATACTTTTACTCACATAACACCCTTTTAAGCAACTTCCAAGCAAGCCAGAGGCACAACCCATCATGGAAACAAAAAGAGTGAATATAACAATATATAGAGGATGTAATATTGATCTGCTAAAACATTTGATTTAATTTAGAAGTAGCATGCCTATTGTCTCTGACCTAACCTTGAGACACTGGGGGAATGAGTTCTGATTCCCATGGAAAATGGCCACCATTCACATCCAGGCACCTGTGGCCAAAAGTCCTGCTAAAATCACAGGATTTCTCCCACATCAAAGCTGCCAGCAACTCAGACTCTGGCTGCCCTTTGAGCCCCAGATGCCACCTCTGACCTGATCTCAAGACACTGGGGGACTGAGTCTTATTTCCTTTGGAAAAGGGCCACCGTTCCCCTCCAGGCACCTGTGGCCAGAAGCGGCCCTGCAGCCACACCAAGCCCCCAGTCCCAGTTCCTGGGGCTTTGGAGAGGGACAGGAGCAGTGCAGGAGCTGTCACTCCCAGCTCAGAGCACTTGCACTCACCCCAGTCATTGCTACAGGCAGGACAGCATTGTTCCAAGCCAGGGCTTCACTGGAGAGTCATGAACTCCTTGGGAATTGCTTGAAGGTAGGATTGAACTTGTTTCTGAACTTCCCATCTGTTTCCCACACAAGCCAAAGTGTTGGGTCTGGCCCGTGCAGCTGGGAAAAAGGAGTTATTAAATAGTTTTTTCTGTCTGATATGTCACAGGCTGGTTTAAATTTTAACTGAAATCTCAGGTAATATCATCTGAAATTGGGTTAAAAGAAGATTCCTACACAGAGACACATTTTTGCAGCACTTTATTAGTAAGCCTGGTGAGCCATTGGATTTGAGTTGCTTTAGACTTGGAAACAAGTCCCTATTTTAGAAGCTTTCAGCAAATTATTGAAGTTCCCCTCAGATCCAGCCTGCCAGTAGCAGCTTCCCATCCATCCTGGGAAACTGGGCAGGGACACCACTGAGAACCCTCTGGACTGGGCACAGCTCTTTTCTGTGGAGAGATGCTCCAGCAGCACTTGGCAGTGAATGCTGGGGATTAATCCATAGGAACAGATAAATCCTCAATCACTGCCGGGCCCTTTGCAGCACTGAATTCCCAGCTGAGGGGAGAGGAGCCTCTGAAATTGTCCCTTCCAGCACAGCAGCTGCTTTGAGCCAGTGCCTGGAACCTGGGATTGATCCTAATTGTCTGACTCTGGAGTCCCTGAAGTGCTGGATTATGGAAAACAGCCAAGACAACGGCTCAGCCTCTTGTGTCACCCAGTGGTTTTGGGCAGGGCACAGCAACTGGTAGTGGGTGTGTTTGGGGAGAGCAGCAAGGTCTAGGAAAGGCAGCTCAGAGGATGAGGTTTGGGAAGGGGTTGTGAGCTAAGAAGCGGCTCAAATCAAGTTTAAGTAGCCTTAAACTCCTGGAATGGTCTGGGTTGGAAGGAACCTTTTAGATCATCCTGTTCCCATGCTTGGCCAGGGTCAGGGACACCCTCCTGCGGTGTGCATGGAATTTGTTCAACGCCAGGCTGGTGAAATGGGTGGGGTTTTCTTCCTGAGCCCAGTCAGGGTCAAGTTTGGGGCTCCCATGGGAAGAAGCCTGGTAGCTGCATTTCCAGAGCTGAGAGACTCCATGCCTGGAAATGTTTCCAGTCTTGCTATTTGTTTTTTCCCAAAACTGGGCATTACATTTCTTCCCGGAGTGAGGAGGTTCTCCCTGGGTTGTTCGGATTGCACACTGGTTGTTTAAGGGCTCTGATGTCTCTTTCTGAATGGAGGAGTGAGGAAATGGGGATGCTACCAGTTGTCACACAGATGTAGGAGCAGCCCAGTTCCAGTGAGGAATGTGGTGCCCAGCTCATGGTGTGCATGCTGAGATGGTCTTTCCTGTTGTTTATTCCTTAGAGCCTGTTGGAGTGCTGACCTGGATTTGGGAGGAGCCAAGTATCCCGGAGCTGTGAGGTTTTTCCTGTCAGAAATCCATGATGGGGATGTTTTCCCTGGCCATGCCAAGTGGAAGGAACAGCTGTGGAGTTGTTGCAGCCACACAGTGGGGATGCATCCACTGAAAATCAGTTCAGGATTGTTCATCTGACTCTGACCCTGACCTGTGGCTTCTAGGGACCCTCCTGGTATCCTGGATATTCCCAGAAGAGGATATTCCACCACCTGCCTTTTGAGCCAGAATTCCAGACCCAGTAAGTCAGTGACATTCTGTGTGAGCTGTCCCAGTGGCTGGGAGGGAGAGGGAGCAAATACTCCACACTTCTGTTTGAGACATTCCCAACTGGAGCTGGGGCTGAGCAGTCAGTGCAGAGCTCTTGTGATGACAAGTTCAGCCTTGAATGGCATCCCCAGGGAATGCTGAGGCATTCTATGCCTGTGGCACTCAGCAGCACATCCCTGATGTGGAGCAAAAAGAGAAGGGAAGAAGTCCTGGGTTAGTGGGAGGATGTTTCTGGAATGGAACTGGGGGAGCTGCTGGTCATATCATTGGAATCATGGGCTGCTTTGGCTTGGAAGGGACACAAAGACCCTCTGGACTCTGTTGTCCAATATCATGGCAAAGAACACATCCCAAGCTGCCTCCTCGCCCTCATGGACTGCAGGAGTGTCTTCCATAGCTCCTGTTCAGGAATGGCAGTGGCTGTGGGGAGCTCTGGCGGGAGCAGCTGGAGACCAGGTAAGAACAGAAATGGGATCATTCCAGCTGCTGCTGGAGGTGGTCTTCCCTTTTCAGGATGTTCCTCTGATGGGTGTTTGCACAGCAGTGTTCTAGGGCATGTGTGGGGGTAATGCCAGGAATTTTGAAACAGTTGAGAAGCAGAGGGGAAAAAATGTGAAGTTGGTCCATTTCTAGTAATTCCAAACTTTTCCCACAACACCATTCTAGGGGAGATCTGGGTAAGCGACAAAGGTGCAGAGGAACAAATGCTCTAAACCCCCCTGGATTTCTGACAGAGCAAACCTTCCCGTGATCCCAGCTGATGTCTCTGAGAAACTGGGGATTTCTAGGCAAGAAGAAGAAAGAGGTGAGGGAATGGGCTTCCAGTCAGTAATGATTTGATGGACATGGGATGATTCTTGAATGTTTGATGCTTCCCTTTTTATTCCTGGGATAATTTTTAAATTATTCCTTTAATAAATCATTTAAATTTGGGAATTTAAACTTGAAAGGAAGCAATACAAAAGAGATGCATGGAGAGATCATAGAATCATCCTGGAATCCCCAGAGGGTTTGAGTGGGAAGGGACCTTAAGGATCATTTCATTCCATCCCCTGCCATTCCATCCACAGCCCACCTGCTCCAAGCCCCATCCAGCCTGGCCTTGGACACTTCCAGGCATGGAGCAGCTGCGATTTCTCGGGGTTTATGGGCACAGGGGGAAATTCCAGCAGGAACTGAGGAGTTCCCTTTGCTCTGTCCAGCCCCAGCAGGGCTGTGGGAGGCAGAGGATGTGGGAACAGGAGCTTTGCCACTGCCTCGGGGCAGTCTCTGCTGTCCCAACACGCAGCAGAGCAAACGTTTGTGGTTTCACATCCCGTTAAAAGGAGCTGCCGAGCCGGGAATGGGAACGGGGGCGGAGCAGGGCTGGCACAGGCAGAGGGGTGACATCCAGAGGGTGCCACCAGCCCGTCCCTGCTGCCCAGGCTGGGGATGAGCGGGCTGGTGACTGTCCCTGTGCTGGCTCTGCGGGATGAGGAAGCCAACCCTGCCGAGGAGGAAGAGGAGGAGATGTGGGAGGATGGAGACAGCGGCCACCAAAGGCTGGGGACTGCACAAGGCCAGGTAGGAGATGCTGCCTTCCAGGGAGAGGGACTTGTCTGTCCCATGGGAATTTGGGGCGTGAGGCCAATGGAACAAAGGGTTTGAGTCTATTTTCTTACTCAGGTTCTTATGTGCCTTAGAGGAGGTATTTGTGGAAAGGTGATTATCCCTCATGGACTCTCTGAAAAACAGGGATTGAAGCTTTCTGAAGTGACCCAAACCTGCCTGCAGGTATCCAAATGCAGCCCCCAATCCCTGTCTTTGTGTACAGTTGGAATGAGACCTCAGCTGCTGTTACTTGCCAGCTCACAAGCTGTGTAGCTCAGAGTGTGCAGCCCTGAAGGGCCAGGCTGTGTTTAAACAGAGAGCAGAGAGCTGGAGTCATTTCCTAGCAGGGAACTTGACTTGGAAGCTGCATTCCAAACTTTTGTCCACATTTATTTTATCTTCCACATGAAATGCCTGAAGGAGCAGAGGTGGGGTGTTCCTAACAAAAGAACATCCAAATTCATCACTGGTAGAGGGCTTAAAATTAAAGTGTGAGTGGAGGTGCCTTTAGGACACTTCAAATTCCTTAGTATATAAATGGAATTTAAATGAAATATCCAAATCCTGACAAACTTGTATGAACTCCAAAGCCTCTGCAAATGTTTTACAGCCAGGGAGGGAGACGAGTCTGGAGTCTTACCCCAAAAACTGGCTGCTGGTTTGTTTGACCAGGCATAGGAATGACTGTGTGTTCCCTGGGGCTGTCTTTATGGAGAATGGTTCATTTCTGTGCCCTGGGTTTATTCAGGGTATCTTCAGAATGATGGAAACTGATTTCATTGAAATGCCAGAGGTGCCCAATGCTTTCCCCAGCCGCAGCTCGGAGCCAGCCCTGTGGGAAGGGGTTTAATGCCCATTTTCCCAATCCCTCGAGGCAGCAGCACTGGAGTCAAGCATGCCCAATGTGCCCAGTGCTGGCAGGAGGCAAATCCAGGGATTGGACAGTGGCAGTTTGCCCTGCTCCTGGAATCCCAGGCCTGGAGCTGTGCTTCAGAGAGCCCAGGAGAAGCTGCCTCACTCAAACCTCATTTAAAGCTCAGCATCCTCCCTTGGAATTATTGTTGCTCTCTTTGCTGCTCTTCGTTGTTGTTGTTGTTGTTGTTATTATTAATGCAATTGTTACTATTGTTACTATTACTGTTATTGTAAATTCCCACTCCAAGTCTTCCATAGCCCTTTGCTTCCCAGAGGTGATGCTTCAGGAAAGCCCCTCCAGCCTGGGAAGGAGCTTTTGGCTCTGGACACATTCCCAGTCCCCAGGAGCAGCAGGACCTGTGCTGTTCCCAGCAGGTGAGGCAGAGGTGCCTTTCCTTCCTCCCTTCCCTGCTGCACTTTGGCTTTTCGAGGGGTCTCTGGGGGTCTGAGGGAGAAATTCTTTGTCACTCCAGGGCAGAATTAGCCCTGGTCCCACTAAAAGCAGGAGGAATCATTCATTTTATCCTAGATTTTGGATACACATTTTGTGTTTTCTCTCTGTTGCTGACACCGTGTGGTGAAGCAGCAGCTCCCAGCTTGTCAGTGCTGCTCCCTGGAATGGTTTTTATTTGTAACACCATGAATTCCCTGCTGGATTCCCAGCACAGCCCCCAGATCAATGTGCAGTTGAAGGTCTTACACACTCACCAGGACAATTTCCTGTCTCTAGGCATGGAAAATGGGGGAAAACTCAGACTGGAGTGGAGCCAGGATCCAGAATGGGGGAGTGACGCAGCGTGCTCAGCCCAGGCTGGGGTTGGCACAGGGGCTGTTCCCCATTGGATGATCCCTGTGTGGAACAGATCCTTCTCTTCCTTTGTCCAAAGTCCAATGGCAAAGGATTCAGGAACCCCCAAAGTGGAGCCTGGAATGAAAATGGTTCTGTTAAAATTAGGCAAAGAATGCAATAAGAAAAAATGGCATCCTTTTTATGTACTGAAATAGTAGGGAATAAAATGTTGATGAGGGGCACTTTTATTTGGTGTCACCTCTCATTTTTTATGGATAGAACCCCACAGTGGGCAATCAGAACAGAAGTGGGAAAGCCAGGAGCCTTTGACTTCCAGAGTGGACCTGATTTCCATTTTCTCCTCTCTTTCAGGACAGGAAAAACCACTTAACTCATCCCATCTCTGCCCAAAGCTTTGGTGTTTGAGCAGCCAAACCCAACAGGCTCCAGCCTGCACTGGAGGGCCCCTGGTCCTGCCCGTGGTGTGGGGTGAGTCCCCAGCTGTCCCCAGAGGAATCTGCCCTGGTTTCAGGCTGTCCTTGCCTGGTCCCTGCAGTCCCCAAGGCTGAGACACAGAGAGAGCCCTGTCCCAAGGGGCCTTTGGCTCCTGGTCAGGAATGTGGTGGCAGCCCCGGGGCAGGGGGAGCTGAGAATGGGGCAGTGCCTGAGGCTGCTGCAGGCAGGGCAGTGTTTACCCTGGGGGCTGGCCCCACAGCTGAGTTCCAGCAGGATCAGGGGCACAGAGGCTGCACTTTGTGCACCCAGGGAGTTTCTGTCCCCCCTGGAGCTTTCCTGCCGGGATGTGGCAGCGCAGGGAGCACAATGAAACCTGCAGCTGCCATGGGCATTGCTGGCCTTTGTCCCTCTGTTGTGCCATCAGCCTGTGGGAATTTGCTGCTGTCACTGCCACTGCCACCCCAGCTGGGGGCTGTGTCCTCCTGGCAGCCCTTCCCAGCCCCAACACGAGCTCCAGTGGTGCCTCTGTGCCATGTTGGGAGCGTTTGCTGGGAATGTGCCTCATCCCTGGGAGTATCCTTGTGTTCCAGAGCAGACAGACTCCAGAGCCTTTGGGCTTGTCAGCTTCAGAGGTTGATGAAACAGTCCCTGAAAGGAAGAATGACAATGAGGTTTGTCCAGGTGGTGCTTTCAGACCCCACCTGACAGTGTTGGCTTTGTGTTGGAGGTTGTTGTGCATTTGCACTGCAGGGAACGAATGTCCCCTTCCCAATTCAGCCCAGCAGATCCCAAAGGCTCTTACAGGAATATTTATCCTTTACTTCCCTCTCTGATAACTTAATCTGCCATTGAGCCATTCCTTGAGTTCTCCTGGAGAAAACCTCACAGCAGAGGAGTTTGCAGAGGAGCCCAGAGCTGTGTTTGGAGCAGAGAGGGCTGAGAGCTGCATCTGCCTGTGCTGCCCCAGCCTGGCAACATCCACATGGAACAGCCTGGGCAGATGGGATTAGATGGAGCAAAATCCCTCCATGGAAGAGGTTTTCTCCTGTGCAGATCAGGCATGGGGCAGGCAGTGAACTTTGGAAATCAGCTGATTTCCCCCAGAAAGCACCACTCCCATCAGCAGGAATGACAGGACCTGTGCCCACTGCTCAGGAGTGGGCTTATCCACTTACCCAGCCAAAATCAAGGGTAAAAGTTGGTTTGGATCTGAGAACTTGAAAAGAGAAGAAATCACCTTTTTCTTCTTCCTTTCAGATGCTGGAATTGCCTCTGGATGTGTGCTGAGCTCTCACTGCAGGGAACTGCCAGGCCTTAATGGTTGTGAGTTTGTGTTCTTCTCACTGGGGAATTGGAAATAACTATGAATTAATTGCAGAAATGTTTTCTGAAACCTTCTCCCTTTGGTGCCCCACTGTGTGTGACAAGGGCAGAGAAAGCGAGCAGAGGGGCTGCCTCAGGCTGGGGAGGGGCAGGAGAAAGGCACTGTGGGCAAAGAAACCTCCCTGCCATCACCAGGGCACCTGTGGGGAACAGAATGGACACTTTGAGGGTAAATGGAGGTGAGGAGGGGGCAAAATCTGAGTTCATCTACAGAGAAATAAATCGGGGATATTTCTGAGGGAAAAGTTGAGGTAATGAGTTCACCCACCTTGGCCCAAGTTGTGTTTGCACAAAGTGGGACCAGAGGTGAAGGTCAATCCATACCAACCCTACTCAACCTCTAAATCCCAGGATAAATTCTACAAGTTGCCCATTGAGGGACTAAAATTTCATAATGGAACCAAGAGCATTAAGACGGTTCCATTACAGTGTTGTCATAGTATTTTTAACAGATCTTTAAGCTTTTTATGACAACAATGCATTTGTCTGTTGGGATTATTCACTCTGTGGGCTTTGGGGTTTATTTGGATTTGAACTCCCTCAAGGTGGCCCTGACACTCCTCAGGAGCTGGGAGGAAAAACAGAGGTCTTGGCAGGGGCAAGGTGTTTTTCCCCAGAGTGGATCCAGCTGCTGGCCACAAGGGATCTGCTTTGGCTCTTGTCTTCTTCCAGGGAAGAAGTTTTCAGCTGATTCAGATGAGTTTCCAGCAGCCTCATCTCCTGGCACTTCCTAGGCAGCCGGATCCTCTCTCCCACCCCTCCTACTCTCAGGCTGGGGCCAGCTGTGCAGAGAATTTGTCTCACCAGCAGCAGGACAGGAGCACTCACACCCTGGCACCTGGATTGTCCTTTTAGGGGATGCTGGGATTTACATAATTCCATACATTTGGCTGCTGAAATTTCCCAGCCCAAGGATTTTGGCTGACAGGGCAGCACAAAGTTTGTTCCCTGTGTGGTGCCCAGATTTTGGGTTCAGCTTTGCTGTTTAGATGAATTAGAGCTATAGCCCTGAATTCCTGTTGCTGGTGGGACAAATACTCTGCACAGAATTCCTTCCTCTTCCAAGGAAGCTCAATGGGATCAGGACAAGGACAGGTTGATATTCCATAGCATTTGTTATTTATAATCCTTTGCTATTTATTCATCCCCCAGCCCCACTCATGTCGCTGGGACACCTGACAGAGTTCCTGGAATTCAGTGGATTCCACCCCCCTGAGCTCAGCTCCAGGGGATGTTTGAAAGCAGCAGAAGGGGTGGCCGGACGCGCTCCCGGCCCTGCTGAGGCAGCCCCTGTGCCCAGGGGAGGAGATCTCTCCCTGCAGGAGCTGAGCTCATTCCAGAGCCTCGGGAGTGGCCTCTGGGAGTTCTTTTCCCTGAGGAAAGGGATGCACATCCCTGCCTTCAGGGCACCTGCACTGTGACCCACCTGTGAAAGCTTCCCAGCAGTTCTGCAGTTCCAGCTGGTTCCCTGAAAAACTCAAACTTCATTCAAACAAAACCTCATCCAACTCTGACCTTTTATTTTAGGGCATCTCCGAGGTCATTGCTCGGGATTGAATTTCTGCGAGGGAAATTCCCTTGGCTCTAACGCTGCTGCTGGAGGCTGTGCCCAGGCTGGAAGGGAAGGGATGGGGTGGCTGGGACAGACCTGGTGGGTGTGTGGGAGCTCCAGGTGGGCACTGGGAATCGCTGTCTGAGCTCCTCTGCAAACCCAACGTGCTGACATTCCCAGGCAATGCCAGCTGTTCCTTGGGGCATTTTTGGGATGTCAGTGGGCTCTGTCTGGGCTGCAGCATCTCCTGTGCCCGTTCAGAGCAGCCCCTGGCCGAGGAGCCGCGGGCAGCCCTTTATCCGTGCCCATCCCAGCGCTGCCCGGGCACCCCAGCGCCCATCCCCGGGATGTGTTTGGCACGCTGCCTGCCACGGGCAGGACACTGAGGCACAGCTCCTGCCCTGCAGGTGCCAAGGACAAGAGGGGCTGCTTCCCCTCCTGGGGCTCGGCCTCCTCCCGCCCCGCGTTCCCGCCCCGCTGGGACACACCGGGAACACCGAGGAACGTTCCTGGCAGGGAGCAGGAGTCCCCGAGGGCTCCGTGCAGCTCTGGGCCTGAGAAGCAGCCCCGGCCTCGGCCCCACCGAGGTTTTGGGCTGTGAACACTCACCTGCAGGAAACGCCCCTCTGCAGGCGGGACCAGCCCCGGCACTCTCCAGAAGAACTTTGGCCATGGACCAAGGGAACCCTCAGGACTTGTCTTGCTCATTTCTCCCTGGAAAGGGACATGGCACAAGCACCTTTGCAAGCTATCAGGACAATACTGGAAAAGACAGAAAATCAGGATTATGGGAAGACTTTTGTGCTGTCATGTCAGGTGCCAGCCAGTTCTGCCCTAGAGCTATTCTAGAGGCTGGTGTGTAACCGCAGCATTAGCAAAAATTTGCCAATTTGCATAGGAATTCCCTTGCTGGCAGCAGCCATTCCCATCCCAGGCAGGACCTTCCTCCTGACCCTGAGATTGGCTCAGGTACTTGGAGCAGGCTGCTGAGAGGAGCAGGATTCCGAGTTTAATGCCCACATGGGCCGGTCACTTACCATCATGAGACTTGATGCTCCTCGTGGCTCTTTCTAACGCAGGATACCCTGTGCTCTGGAAATAAACAGTTTTCACCGGCTTTTTAAACGGAGTTGTTTTGCATTAGAGAGTGCGACCCGCAGGGAAGGTGGGGGGAGGAAGGAGAGCATCAGGCCTCACCTGGCAGGTGTCGGATGAGCGGCCCGAGCAGAACCGAGCCCCGGCGGGCGTCCCGCGGGCGGGAGCGCGCACCGGGGGCCGCCGCCCGGCGGGAGCGCGCACCGGGGGCCGCCGCCCGGCGGGAGCGCGCACCGGGGGCCGCCGCCCGGCGGGAGCGCGCACCGGGGGCCGCCGCACTCGCAGCGCCGCTCTGTGTCCGCCAGGGGGCGCCCCTCTCGGGCGGCGCTGAGGGAGCGGCGCCCCTGAGGAGTCCCGGGGCCGGCCCAGGCGGTCCCCGCGCCCCGCCCGCTTCCAGCCGCGATCCAGCGCCGGCTCCGGGAAAGCGCCGCCTCCTGCCGGGCCCGGCCCCGGCACAGCCCCGGCTCCCCGCGGCCGCGGCGGGACCTGCCCGGAGCCCCGGCGGGAGCGCAGCCCCGCACCGGCCGCGGTCCGAGCGGGAGCGGCAGCGCCGGGCTCGGTCCGCGCCCGTCCCGGAGCGGCTCCGCCTCCCCGCGGCGATTCCTGTCCCGATCCCTGCCCCAATCCCGCCCCGGTCTTGCGGCTCCAGGACCCACCGCCCACTCGCCCCGGGACCCCCAGCAGACACCGGCAGGACCCGGACCCGTATTCCCCGGCCCGGGTCCCGTTCCCGGCCCCACCTCAGCGCCGCGAGCTCCGCACAGCACCGGGAGCAGCCCCGGCCCAGGGCCCGCGCAGCGCTCCGAGCGCCGGTCCCGCCGCATCCCGGGATGAGCATCCCCCGCCCAAAGCGGAGCGGGCGTGGATCCGCCGGGATTTACGGGCGGGGCGGGGCGGGGCGGGCTCAGGTGTGAAGGGCGGGCCCGGCTCAGGTGTGAAGGGCGGGCCCGGCTCAGGTGTGAAGGGCGGGCCCGGCTCAGGTGCGCGGGCCCCAGAGCGGCTGCGCGGGGCGGGGCTGCGGGGATTTAAGCCCCGGGAATCGCCTCAGGAGCCATTTGCCCCTCAGCGATCGGTGGGGGAGGTTGCGGCCGGGTCGGGCTCTTTATTTCTCTTCCTTTTTATCTCTTCTCTGCTTCTCTTTCTCTATACCTCTCCTCTATCCCCTCCCTTTCTCCCCTCCCCCCCCCCCTCCACCCTCCCCCCCCTACCCCCCCTCCCTCTCCCCCCTAGCCCTCCCCTCCTTCCCCCCCGGCCCGGCGCGGTCCCCCCCTACTCCCCCTCTTCCTCTCCCCCTACACACCCCAACCCTGCCATACCACCTTTCTCCTCGTCCTTCCACGTTTCTTCCCCCACCCGGCTCCCACCTGGCCCCTCTCCCTGCTCCCTTTCCCCCCAATAGTTTCTCCTCGTCCTTCCACGTTTCTTCCCCCACCCGGCTCCCACCTGGCCCCTCTCCCTGCTCCCTTTCCCCCCAATAGTTTCTCCCTACCTGCCTTCAATCCTCTCTCTACTTCCTCTGCCCTTCCTTCCCCACCCCAGAGTCCAGCTCCCCCTGCCCCCTTTCCGTGCTGCCTTCTCCCCCACCTTCCCCTCAATCTGCCTTCATTCCTCCTACTCCATCCTCTACCCTTCCTTCCTTCCCAGCCCACCTCCCCCTGTCCCCTCTCCCTACTGCCCAGTACACCCCGACCCCCCCACCTGCCCTCCGTCCTTGGCTCCCGCTGTCCATCCCCTCTGCCCCCCTATTCCCGTCCTCCATCCTCTCCTTCTTTCCCCCGCAGCCGCGGGGCTCGGGGCGCCGCAGAATAAAGCCCAGAGGGCCGGAGCGGCGCCCCCGCTGTCCCCGGAGCCCCACCGGGGCCGGGCCCGCTCGGCGGGTCCCCCCACACCGTTCCAATGCACCGCCCGACACCGCCGGGGCTCCGGCTTTCCCTACATCACACTGGGGGTCCCCGGGAGGGGGTTTGGGGGTCAGGGGGGGCCCCCTCGGGGAGGGGGTTTGGGGGGCGGTGGGTTGGGGTGGGCAGGGCCCCCTCCGGAGGAGGGGGTCCCGGGGGGGGTCGGGGTGGGCCCCCTCCGGAGGGGGGGCCCGGGGGGGGGGGGGGGGGCGGAGGGGGGACTTCCCCCCTCCAGTCCCCGCCCCCTCCCCCGGACCCCTCCTCCGGACGGGGCTCACCTGGGACCCCTCCCCGGGACCCCCTCCTCCGGACCGGGGGGGGGGGGGGGGGGGGGTGGGGGGCAGAAGGGGAGGGGCCGTTTGTTTGTGCGGGGATCTGTGTGTGTTCACGCTGCAGAGTGACGTGACCCCCTCTGCTTCCCCCCCACCCCACCCGCCCCCCTCCCTCCCCCCGGGCCCCGGTCCGGGGGAGGGGGTCCCGGGGAGGGGGCCGGGGCCGACCCCGTCCGGAGGAGGGGTCCGGGGGAGGGGGCGGGACTGGAGGGGGGAAGTCCCCCCTCCGCCCCACCCCCCTCCCCCGGGCCCCCCCTCCGGAGGGGGCCCACCCCGACCCCCCCCCCGGGACCCCCTCCCCCGGAGGGGGCCCCGCCCCCCTAACCCACCCCCCACCCCTGGACCCCTCCCTCCCTAAACCTCCCCACCCCCAGGACCCCCTCCGGAGGAGGGGGCCCATCCCACCCGAACCCACACTGGGACCCCCTCGTCAGGAGGGGTTCCCCCCTGACCCCCAGCCCCGACGCCGCCGGGGAGCCCCCACTGCGATGGGGGCAAAGCCGCAGCCCCGGCGGCGTCCGGCGGCTCTTGAGAACCGCCCCGGGGGACCCGCCGAGCGGGCCCGGCCCCGGTGGGGCTCCGGGGACAGCGGGGGGCGCAGGGCTCCGGCCCTCTGGGCTTTATTCTCCGGCGCCCCCAGCCCCGCGGCTGCGGGGGATGGAGAGGGGAGGACGGGGAGAGAAGAGAGATGGAGGAGATGAGGAGGGGAAGGGAGGGGGGATCGGGGTGCGGAGGAAAGCGGGAGAAGGGAAAGGCCAAAAAGCGAGGAAAAGGAACGTGGACATAGGAGAGAGGCGGAAGAGAAGGAATTACCGGGGTAGGGATAGGAGAGGAAGGAGTGTAGGGGGGTTGGGGAGAAAATCGGGAAGGGTTTGGGGGAGAGAGAGAAGAGGGGAAAGGAAAAGAAAGCAGGGGAGCACGGGGAGAAAGAAGTAGGAGTAGAGGGGGGAACAGAAGGGGAGGCCGAAGAACCACCACCCGCACCGCGCTCCGAGTGAGCAAATGGCGGCTGAGGCGATTGCCGGGGATTAAATCACCTCGGCCCCGCCCCGCGCAGCCGCGCTGGGGCCCCGCACACCTGAGCCGGGCCCGGGACCATCCCGCACACCTGAGCCGGGCTCGCCCTTCACACCTGAGCCGGGCCCGGGCCCGCCCCCGCCCCGCTCGCGGTGGGGGCGGGACCATCGCTCACGGCCCCGCCCCTCTCACCGGGGCCAACCGGGGCCGCTCCCGGCGCTGGGACCGGGGCTTCGGGTCCGTGTCCCGCCCGTGTCCGCTCTGGGTCCCGGGGCCGGAGGACCGGGCGGGACTGGGGCTGGGATGGGGACCGGGCTCGCCGCGGGCGGGAGGAGCCGCTCCTGCTGCGGCTGCGGCCCCGCCGGGGCTCCACGGCCCCGGAACCCTCCAAACCCTGCCGGTCCCCGCAGCGCCGGAGGGATATTTTCGGAATTTTTAATCCAACGTAGGCAGATAATTCCCATTGAGAAACCCCAAAAATAAAGGCTATGGGGTTGAGGTTAAGTGGGAGGGGCGGGCAATGTTCTGCTTTAAATTAAAACACATTGGGAAAATCCATCTCATTTCCTCTCCCGGACTGGCCTCTGTGTGACCGATCGGCTGCGTTCCAGCTGCTCGCGTGGGATTTTCAGCCTGTGGGACTGCAATGAAATGCCAGGTGCTGAGCACGAGAGAACACGATGGGAAATCTCTCTGGATCAGGCAGTGTCCCGAAGGTCTGGCATATCCCAGCATTCCTGGCTGGAATTTGGGGGATCCCAGCACATCCCTTCTACAG